CCCTGTCCCCACGGTGTCCCCGGCCCCCCCCGACTGCTCATTCTCCTGCCACCATTGTGCTCCCATTGTCCCCATCCCTTCGTGTCCCCCCCACCCCTCGTTCCCCCCACGTCCCCGTGACCCCCGCGCTGTCCCCGCGGTGTCCCCGGTGCTGTCACCTCCAGGCTGTCCAGGTAGCCCAGGACGTTGGGGTGCCGGAGGCTGCGGAGCCGCTTCAGCCCCGCCCGGGCCAGCGCGGTGGCAGCGGGGTCACCGCCCGGGGCCAGGCTGTGCGCGAACACCGACACCGGAGCGCCGTCGGCCTGGGGACACCGGGAGGCTCTGGGACACCGGGAGGCTCTGGGACACCGGGACAGACGGGGGACAGGCAGGGACACCGGGACAGGCAGGGACACCGGGACACTCAGGGACACCGGGACAGGCAGGGGGACACCGGGACAGGCAGGGACACTGGGACGCTCAGGGACACCGAGACAGGCGGGGGGACACCGGGGCAGGCAGGGGACAGGCAGGGACACCGGGACAGACGGCAGGCAGGGGGACACGCAGGGACACCGGGACGCTCAGGGACACCGGGACAGGCAGGGCACAGCCTGGGGAACAGCACAGGGGAAGAAGCGGGGGACACCGTGGGGACACGCGGGGCTGGAGCAATGACAGGACAGGGGAACACGATGGGGACAAATGCAGATGTGGGGACAGTGGTGACACGTGGACAGAGACAGCTGGGACCTGGCCATGGGGACAGACGGTGACGTGGGGACAGGTGACAGCGAGAGCTTGGGCACAACGGGATGGGGACAGCGGGGGACACCGGGGTGGGGACACGGAGGGACACCGGGATGGGGACACCGAGCGACACCGGGATGGGGACACGGAGGGGACGGGGGTCGTGGGGACATGCGGGGGCAGGGATGGCGGGGCCATGCAGGGATGCGGGGACAGGCAGGGGACACACGAGGGGACGCGGGACCCTCCCCACACCCCCCGCCCCCCCAACCTTGCGGCGCCCCCGCAGCAGCCGCCAGAGCGGGGCCGGGGCCGCGGGGTCCGCGGGCGGCTCCGCGTCGGGATCGGCGTCGGGCGGGCCCAGCTCGAAGGGGAAATCCCGCACCGGGTCCCGGGCGAAGAGCCACATGGCGGGGCCGCGCTGCGGCGCTCCCGGCGCTCCCGGGGCTCCCCGCGGCTCCCGCGGCCGCAGCGGGCCCGCAGGAAGCGGCGGCGGCGCCGGGCGGCAGCATCCGGGGACGGACCGGGGGCGGGGCCTCGCTGAGCCAATGGGAGGACAAGGGTGGGGACTGGGTGAGCCAATGAGAAAACGGGGGTGGGGAAGGGGAGGAGAGAAAGGCGGGGCTTGGTAGAGCCAATAAGGAGCTGGGGAGGGGCTCGAATGAACCAATGAGAGGCCAGAAACAAGGAAGGGGCGGGGCGAAAAGTGGGCGAGGCCAAAACCAGCGGGGAGGGGCGGGGCTTGCTAAGGACACGCGGCAGGAAGCGGCGGTGACGTCACCAAGCGGACCCAGCCCGCGTTGACGTGACGTCAGAGGGAGCAGGCAATGACGTCACACGCAGCAATGCCACCTCCCCCAGGCCCAATGACGACACGAGGCCGGTCGGGACTCTGCAGTTTATTGATCACGGGGGGCCCTGTCACGACAGGGGGTGCTGTCCTCAGAGCCACCCAGGGTCCTGTCGCGGGTCCTCATCGCGACAGACGATCCCTGTCGTGACATGGGGCACCCCCCGGCCTGGAACCGTGGGTCACCAGTGTGGGGCTCTGGGAAACGAGGGGCAGGGGTCCCCGTCGCGATATGGGGGGCCCTGTACCAAAAGGGGTCCCTGTCACGACGTGGAATCGCCCTGTGCCCGTACCCTGGGTCACCCAAAGCCGTGGGAATAAACGAGGGGGGGTTCCCGTTGTGACAATGGGTCCTCATCGCAACACGGGGGCTCCTGTCGCGATACGAGCTCCGTGTCGGGATGTGGGGCTCATCCTTTCCTCTGGATTGCCACCCAGGGTCCTGTCGCGGGTCCTCATCGTGACGATCCCTGTCGTGACACGGGGCACCCCCCGGCCTGGAACCGTGGGTCACCAGTGTGGGGCTCTGGGAAACGAGGGGCAGGGGGTCCCCGTCACGATATGGGGGGCCCCGTACCAAAAGGGGTCCCTGTCACGACGTGGAATCGCCCTGTGCCCGTACCCTGGGTCACCCAAAGCCGTGGGAATAAACGAGGGGGGGTTCCCGTTGTGACAATGGGTCCTCATCGCAACACGGGGGCTCCTGTCGCAATACGAGCTCCGTGTCGGGACGTGGGGCTCATCCTTTCCTCTGGATTTTGGCAACCCCAAGTCAAGGAGGAGAAATGGGGGGACTCCACCACGATACGGGGCTCCCTGTCGTGATATGAGGGGCTCCCTGTCACGATATGGGGCTCCCTGTCGTGATATGAGGGGGCTTCTGTCGTCATATGAGGGGTCTCTGTCACGATATGGGGGTCTCTGTCGCGATATGGGGCTCCCTGTCACGATATGGGGGTCTCTGTCGCGATAGGGCCCAGGCCAGCAGCAGCGGCGGCGCCGCGGGGGGTCGAACCCCGCCCCGGGGGGTCCCGGGGGTGCCACCACCGGCGCCTTTTGCTTTTTTTTCGGCCTTTTTGGGTCCAGAGGAGAAAAAGCAAAACCTGAGAAAACGGGGAAAAGTTTTCTCAGGAAAAGAAAAAACCTCCCGAAACGGGAAAATAAAAACAAAACCTCCCCAAAATGTGTCCGGCCCCGCCCCATGCGATTTGGGGCAAAATGTGGGGAATTTGGGGCTGGAGCACACCCAAAAACGGGCACTTTGGGGGGTTTGGGGCCCAGCACGTGCCCCCGGCGCAATTTGGGCAGAGAAACGGGGATTTTGGGTCCGAGCGACGGCCCAGGCGCAAAAACAGACTCAGAAACGGGGATTTGGGGTCACAGGCGCGTCCCGGTCGCAAAATGGGCTCAGATCGGGGGATTTGGGGTTAATCCCGCGCCCCCGGAGCACAACGAGGTCAGAAATGGGGATTTTGGGTCGATCGCGCGATCCGGGCGCAAAACGGGCTCAGAAACGGGGATTTGGGGTCGGACGCGCGCCCCCGGCACAGAATTAGCTCCGAAATGGGGGTTTTGGGGTTAATCACGCGCCCCCCTCGCAGCTCGGGCCGAGAACGGGGGATTTTGGGGTCGGCGCGTCCCGGGGCCCCGCCGGTACTTACTCTGCTGGCTCACCTTTTCCTGCCTCTTATTTTGGGGGGGATTTCTAGTTTTTAAGCCTTTTTTTTGGAGCAAATTGTCCATTTTGGGGCGAATCAAGACGGTTTTGGCACTGTCACTGTGGGGAGGGGAGAGAGACAACACCCAACCCCCCATCTCCCACGCCTGCTCCTCCATCCCTTTGCTTTGGGGGAAAATCCAGGGGAAACGGTTCAAAAGCTCCTCCCCCATCCCAAGCACCATGCGAAGGCGCTGACTAAGCATTTTTTGGGTGGAAAAAACCCTGGTTTTGGTTTAGATTCCCAGCTTGGGGGCGGGCCCTACAAGCAGCGCATTCTGAGGCAATTTTAGCAATTTTGGGGGGGAAAGCAGCCAAACCCAAAGCTCCCCCTCCCCTTCCATCCCTGGAGTGGCCCATTTTGGGGTGAAAGCGGCACAAATACCAATTTCTGGCTCCCTACTGTTCCTGCAGACCCTGATTTGGGGTTTTTTTGCCCCAGTCTGGCTCTTGGAGGCTCCTCTGGCGGGGGCAGGGCCGGCGGGGCTGCAAAAAACACCCACGAGACCCCCCCCACACACACCCTGTCAGCACAATGGATTTTTGGGGGGAAAAGCGGCCGAATCGGTCAAACCGCCCGAAGGTCGCGGTTTTCCGCCGGTTTTGGGGGGGTTTGGGGTCGGGAGGTGCCCGCATGCCACGTCCGGGGGGGTCCCCGCGCTCCCCCCGCCTCCCGACGCCCTAAACCGGCCGGAATCGTCCCAAATCCGCCGCCCCTCCCCCCACCCCCCGCGCGGGTCCCGGGGGGGCTCAGGGTGGGGGGAGGGGCGCACCCGGTACCTGCCACCGCCGATCTGGGGGGGTTTTGCCTCAAATTTGAGGCTTCCCCGCCCCTTGCTCGCTCCTACACTTACTCGTTTTGGGGACAAAAGTCTAAATTTAACCATTCCTGCTGCTGGTTTTGGAGAAAAAACCTGGAAACATGATTATTGTCCCCTCCCCCCACGCCTGCTCCAGCCCCTCCCTCCGCGGGGTTTTTGGGGGGGTTTTACGTTTCTTTTTTCCTAAGGAAAGCTCCTGGAGCCACATTCCTGCTCTTCCAGCTTCACTTTTGGGGCAAAAAAGCTTCTTTTTGATGCTGCTGACTCCTCTCACTTGCGGCTGCGGAAAGGGCGGAAAACACCCCAAAACCGCCCCCTTCCCACCAAAAACCGACCTCCCAAAAAAATGAAATTAAATCGACTCTTACTTCTCTGCATTCCCCAGATCTGGGGGTTTTCTCCTCAAATCCCTGCCGGAATCTCCTGAGCGCGTTTTGAGTGCAGACTGGCCTTTTTTGGTTAAATCCTCTCTTTTTTTTTTTTCCCTTTCCTCGGCTTTTTCTCACCGTTTTTTTGCCTTTTTTCCCTGCGTTTTGCTGCTTCCCTGAGGGGGAAAAAAACTCGAGAAACCCCCTCCCCCCCTTTCCCCACCCAGGAATTTGGTGG